TACAAAAGTTATCATGTGTCAGATCTCTCAAGTTGAATTTAATAATTGAATATCTGAAATTCAGATAGTCATGAAAACGCACACACAAGAAGCATCTCTTTTATTGATGGCGTGCAGGGCAGTATCTGAAAATGTTTTCAATAATTGAATTCAACTTTCAGATTTGACATTTCTGAATCAATATCGTCAAACAGTTGTATAAGTAAATATTTCTACTATCAATTAAATAATTGAAGATATTTATTGAATGAATCAAAGATAAATGAATGTGTTTATTGAAGATAACATATTGATATTTTTTGTATTAAATCAATTTTTATTACAAAAAAAAAGAAAGATCAATCAAATTAAATTTAATATTGCAATGAGATACGAAGAGAAGTATATTCTGTTTGATATAATTCATTTGATGATCAATATCTTTCCAATGTATTCAAAGTTGAACTAATTTGTCGCAATTCTTGTCGTAATAAGCGAGATTCATGTTCAGCTTGTTTTCGAAGCTTAAATAAAAAGAAGAATAAGAATTTTCTTTTATTTTTCGAATATTTTAATAAAAATACAACATTGATAATTAATCAACGTTGAGATCAGTAGACACATTTAAAATCTACAGTGAAGATCTGTCGAGAACAAACAATGGAGACATGAAGTTCACTGCTTCCATCTCGAGATCGGTTTTTTTAATATCATAAATCACTGTTATCTTACACAAATTTAAATTAAACAAATTACCGATCTTCACCATAGATTTTTAATATGTTCATCATCACAACAACAGCCCTATACTCTATCATACTTTAGTAGCATTATTCAAACGATTTGTAGTCTGTTCAAGTTGAATACGAATATCTGTTGAATTTTTCTAGACAAAAATTAATCGAGAATATACATCAGAGATGTCCATCGCGGCTAGAAATCAGCCGCGCCGCTGCCGCAACGCGGGGAACTATATAAAAAGTTGCCGCTGTCGCAATGGTTTTCGAGAAACTCTACGACAATCTCTTCCGTCACTGTGCCAAATTAGTACAGTTGAATTGAATCCATCAGACTCAATCTCGATTGTGACTGTTGAACTCGTAGGGACTCAAATTGGGTGCAAATTCATTCAACTTTACAGTCTGAATAAAAAAAGAAGCTGCCTCTGCCGCGTCAGTGAAATCATCGCGCTGGCAGCAGTGCCGCCATGAACATCTCTGATATATATATATATTAATCATAAATAATTATGTACTGAAGGTATGCGATCTTGTTTGTCCAATATTTTTATTTGATTTTTTTCAATAAAATATTTTTGTCTCCATAAATCTGTTTCTACAAAACAAAATTAAAATACAAAAAAACAAAAACACTTTTTTGTCTTCAAACCTTCCCGTCGTCGAATAGTAATTTCACTATGTAACTGACTCAATTGATGAACAATTATTCTACGATTGGTTTCTAATACAATACGTTTTGCTTTGAGTATTTTGAGACGTTTTAAAAGTTTTACCGCTTAAATATAAATAATCTATGAAATCAAATTTTTTTATAATCAATCGACATACCATCATGTGTTTTATTTTCGGCGTCATTAGTTCGATAAATTGATTTTCTTCTTTCTTTTTGTAAACGTTCATATTTAATAGCCTCAACTCTAAAACATAAAAACTGTTAATGTAATCTCAATAGCATTGAAATGCAAAACACAATCTAGCTACTGTTGTTAATTTGTTTTATTCTATCTATTTTGAATAACTGATGGATCCCTATTTCCCATACAGATGTGAAATGTTGTTAACATGTCTATAAGAAGTCCAAATGTTTGCCTCTAAACTTCAACACTCTTTTTAGATCGTGTTTCACCAAAAAAAAAAGAAAAGTTAAACAACAAACTCAATAATTAATCTACATTTCTCGTTATTTTTTCTCTAACGAAAATACTAAAAAAAAAAGCAACAATAGTTCAAATATTATCATCTGTCAAAATCTAGCTGTTGTTATTATACGATGAATCGAGTTAGGAACGAGTGTCTGTCAAAGAAATAAAACTTTATTATGAACATATAGATGAAAATGTGAGTGTTAGATAATACTAATACAACCTTTATTTATGATGATTTATATCGTCTGTATGTCTGAATTATATTGGATAATAAATTTTGATTTTGAAAATGAAACAAAGTAACTTACTCTTGCTGTTGTTGTTGTTTTGTATGACGTCGATAACGATAATTTCGAAAAGCAGTTTGAATTTTAACAGCTGCTTTTTCTTTTTCATGTTGTTCTTCTAGTTCATGACGTTTTCGAGCTAATTCTTTTTGAAGTAAATAAAGACGTTCTTGTTCGCCGCGTAATTTTGCTGAATTTCTAGAATAATAAATATTAACTATAATTATTTGTTAATGAAGAGATTCTCTACCGTGTATTGGATTCATTTGAACGTGTTGAATGTCTTTTGATTCTGAAAGAAAAAAGAAATTTTTTGCTTTTTTTTTCTTCTTAAAATATTTACTTTGAAAATGTTGGGATAACTGTTGAAGTTTCTTGTATATAATTATGATTAAATAATGGATGAAGTAATGATGGTCCATCCATTGGTTTTATCCAAGTTTGTGAATTCGTTAATGATTCACTCATTGTTAATTCTCGTATTAAATAATCTTTTTTATTTTCTAATATTGATGGATCATCATTATGATGTTTTCCAAGTATATAAATCTGAAAGATTTTAGTAATTTATTTCAATTGTAGAAAAAAAAAACATACTTCAGGTGCGAATGTCTAGAAAAGAAAAATATATATAAAGTTATATGCATAAGTCTACGAGAAATTAAAATTATCCTGATCTAACTTTTTCTTAACTACTTTTGAACTAAAGAGAGATTAAAATAAGTGAAACCTCGCAGTATAATTAAAATATATAATAATCTACAAACCGTTGGTGGTCGATAATTTTTCACTTTTAATTCTTTTTCTTGATGATGTTTAACTTTAGTTAAACATCGACCAACACTTCGAAGATAACTAAATTCTTTGGGAAAATAATCTTCTTCACCACAAATATTATTGATATATTGACGAAGTTCATAAATAGTTAAACTTTCGGGAACACTTAAAAATAAAATGTTTTTTTTTTCTCTTAAAATTTTATTCAAATAACTTACTGAACAAAACCTACTGATATAGCGTGCTTTATTACTTCATTTTCGGCTAAATTTTGACGATTTTTCCAAACTTTTTTTGGTATTATATAAACATGAAGATCAACAAGCTAAACAACAGATAATTAAATTATATTTATTTATTTATTTAACTACCTGTGATGAATCAGGTCGATCTATACTAATCAAATTTGTATGTAATATTGATCGTTGATTTTCAACTTGAGATTGCATTTTTAACTAAATACATACATAAGCATGCGTCAATCGAATCCTTTTTTTTTTCTTCACTGTTTCAGCGTCTTCATTGTATTCAATGAAGAGAAAACAGAACAAAAACAAAAAAAAGTTATTTTCCACATCACCTGTTTAAAATGATTGAATTTATTTCATGAATACTTCAATTTTTTTTCTTGCTTTACTGTCTACATAGAAGACAAATACGCATAGTGTTTTTTTTTTAAATTGGTCTTATGTTAAAACAACAATTTATATCATTATTCATTGAATGCAATGTTTGAACAATATTATATATCAATAATACAGATGTGCTTTTGTAAAAAAAAAAGATTCCATATATTATGAAACCATGTAAATCTGAGATGATTACATAGAATAGAATATAGATTTTATAATATTTTTTCTTTTCAACGGAAAAAATAAAATTCTTGTTTTCTTTTTGAGTTTGAAATTGTCGTTAATATATGAGACAAAATTTATAGAACAATTATTATTTGTATTTTTTTGAAATATTAATAGACTGCATTTGGATTGTTGTCATAATAATTTTGATTAAATAATATGCGATGCCAAAGTCTTTTAAAAAAATGTGAAACTCTGTTGAGCTATACTGTCGACTTCTAAATCAATGAAATTTTTTTTTGTTAGAAATCAAACACTAAAAACATTTTTCTAAATTGAAAAGTCTCTATTTCTGAATTATTTTAAGCTCCATAGATGAATTAAATTGGAACAAAGATGCATCAAAAAATCTATCGATATCAGCTTTTTTTTTTATCTGTCCTTGATTCTTTAATCGAAAAAGTTTGGAAAATGACAATTTTTTTAAACATTGAAAAAAGCATCCTTTATGCTACAAAAATCAGCATTAAACATGTTTTTTTTTCATTTCTCTTCTGATATAAATAAAAATAATGGATAATACAAAAAAATGAAGTTGCTTAATAATGAAGTTGCAAGAACTTTTTTTGGAAGTATTTGGATTTTGGACTTTTCTTCCTC